CACACACACTCCCCCCCTCTGACGCTGTTCTCCACATCTTCTCCTCTCAACTTAAGTGGAAACAGAAAATTAAAAGCGGCGTCAGGTTTTCATATTCTGAGTGCATCGCGGGCTCACAGGACCCGAAACCCCGACGCATTTAGTCGGCTTAAGCGTCACTTTAAACCTTAGGGGTGTGAGTGAGTGAGTGTGTGTGTGTTCTGGGTGGGACTCTTTAGCTGTCACCTACACACAACCTATGATGCAGGGTCTTAGCGGTAGCTTCTCATGGCTGAGTGCTCAGGACACACACACACACACACACACACGCAGCCGGCGTTGACAGGTGAAGGTAAACGAAGCAGAACTCTGCTAATCTGCCTCTGCCTGGGAGACGCAGAGCGAGAGGTGAAGCTCGGAGAGAGCGACGTCAAGGGTAGCCGTGTTTTCTTAAACGCTGAAATCTCACTCAACGACGTTAGAAACGGGCCGCAGTAAAGCGAAGTCTGCTGCTGCAAAGCTGCACATCCACGAAAGCAATCTGTGTTTAGAAAAATATCCTGGGGTTTCAGGAAAACGGCAGGAAAATATGTTTAATCAGAGGATCAAAAAGTTGTACTCAAGTCAGAGCAGCACTACTTCAACATGTTTATACAAAAGTGAAAAGTATCCGTCCAAGAAATTACTCAGAGTAAAAAAGTATTTGGTAAAAAGCCGACACAAGTACTGAGTAACTGATCAAATGATCAATTATTTAATATTTAAAAATGACAATCAGGTGGACAAAAATATAAAGTTAAGTGGAAATTTTGTTGTTTTAAGGATGAAAATGATAATTCATATAAAAAATAAAAATCAGGCAAAAGGAAGTTTTTTCAAATCAGCTTCTTTCAATAAAAATCTGATGAAACTTTAACAGAAACTGCAGGTGTGAGTCTGAGTCTGGTGGATTTCTGGATAAAACATGTTTGTTTTTCATTCAGTGGGTAAAAAATAAATAAATTTTACTCAAGTCAGAGAAGTAATACTTAATAAAATTACTCACGAAAAAAGTACAGCGTTGTAAAAATACTCCTAAAAGTATTTTTTTTTAAGTACCTCTCTCTCTTGTTTTTGTTCATTTTCACATCATCTTCAGATTATTCATATTTTCTGGATTAATTTGTGCTTTAGGACATAAACTCTCTTCACTAAAGGGATTAATATGAAAAGAGGAACTTGGTTATTTCTGAAGATATGAATCTTTCTGATTTCCATACAGATTCTAGAGTGAAGAGATATTAAAGATATTTCCTTTTCCACGATGTGCTGCACCTTTTAACCAGCTTTTGTTGACGTAACTGTGCATTGTAGAGGTTTTATAAACTAATCCTTTGCCCATGCCGTAGTATCCGCTGCTGCTGACAGACGGTTATTGATGCTGCATTGTCTGAGGAATCAGCCTAAGCTCGCATCCTCTGCCTTTAAGAGCAACATTTCCTCCTGATGGCTGCAGGAATCTTCAAATGAGATGGAGTAAAATACCTCACTCTCTACAGTAAATTAAATTTCACTCTCAACTCACCTCCTGATCTAAAGGATCTTTCACAAACTGACAGATTGCTTTTATTCTTGCCAGCATTGAAAATGATGAGTTCACTCATCAAACTGCTTCAAGAATGAAATAATTACACCATCAGGTCCTACATATATAAACATGTGTACTTAGCAGATATTTCATGGATTATAACTGTTCAACTGCTTAATAACAACAGTTGAACAGTTGAAATGAGTAAAGATCCACTTTATGCCACAAATGCATGTCAGGATGATGAAGCTACAGCAGCAGAGGACCGCACTAGTCAGTCACTAGTAGTCAGACTGACTAGTGCGGTCACTAGTGCACTAGTAGTCAGAAAATCATTTACACAGAATATGTCTATTCATTTACACAGAATAGACATAATAAAGTTTTTATTTTAGCTGCAGGGTCATAAATAAAATATTTACCAACAGTTTGGACTGGGGATGTAGAGGTGGAGTGAAACCGGAACATAGGGTGTGTTCACACGCGAAGGTCCGGTAGAATCGGTCCGATTTGGGACCAAACATCAGAACATTCATTTCATTTTCAGCTGCGGATGTTCTTTCACACCGAGTCCAAAGGACCAAACGTTTTGTAAAACCTGTTCCCCTCCTGGCCTGTGGGGGCGCTGCACCAAGAACCGCTGAAGGAAACGACACAAAAACCTCTGACAGAGCCCAACTTCCTTGTGTGGGTGCAAAATGAAAGCAAAAACAAATAAAAAGTGAAATTAGAAGGAGGCAAAGGGAACTGGTTCAGCGATTGGTCAGACAAGAAGGAAATGCAGAGGAAGGCTGGATGTGATTGGTCAGATTTATGACAAGGTTGTGATGACTGGCCAAAAGTGGTGGTGAATTTGTGTAAATTTTGTGAAGGATTTAATGAGCTGATAGTTGGGATCACAACTTCTGGAAGAACTGACTACAGCAGGCAGGGGTGCTGAAAGTGCGGCCAGGGGGCCATTTGTGGCCCTCAGACTGACTGTGTGCGGCCCCCAGCTGCAACTCAAAAATGATAAAAATTTGGCTGATACATGCAGATGGACACTTTTAATTTGTAATAAGGGTAAATTTATTACAAACATAATGGGACACAAATTTTTACAACCAAGCTTTAACAAAAAATCAAGTTTATCCAGAAACTTTTACTGAAAAGGCGACTTTGAAATCAACTTTCATTTAATTTATTAGACTTGACCAAATATAGCAAATGTTTTGAATGATAGTGACCCAAATCCTATTATTATTACTGAAAATGAATTTATTCAGTGGAGCCCAAGAGAAACTGAAAACTAGATGCTTTTCTTTAAATACAGCAAACGTGGAAAATCTGTTAAACTTTGAAATTTTCAACTTTTGACAAATTCCAAAAGTTGAAAGTCCAAGGTTAATCTCAAAATTCCTGAAACTTTTTCAGTAAATTTTCAAATTTTCAAACAGAAATTTTGCAATTTTTTCTAGAACATTTATGGGTTTCTGAAAATTTACTTTTCTTATTTACAAACTTTTAATCTAATTTGGCCCTGATACGCCACCGTAAAAATCCCTTTCAAACTTTGGATCTGCAATAAAAATCCATTTTGAAAAGATAAAACTAGACATAAAAATACATGACTTGACTACTTTATTTGTTTTGTTTTATTTGGATCTTTTGACTCTTTCAACTTTTGAAAAGTTTGTGCACCCCTGGGGGTCCAAACTTTCATTCATATTTATGAACATTTCAGCGATCTTACTTAAAACAAACATCTAGAAACTCAAATCTATCCCAGTGCTAAACGTATAAAATCATCTGAAATCAAACTAAATGTGTTGCTCCTGTAACAAAGTGCTGAATAAAAACAGAAGCAGCTGCTAAAACTACAAACTTTGGGGATGAACATAATAAACAGAGAAGTAAATAAATCTGCAGCGATCAGAAACATAACTTTCCAAAGGGGATTACTGTCATGCAGGTCTGAGAAAACAGCAGAAATCTGCATGTCAAAGCCGGAGTGTTGGTATAAATTTAGATGCATATGGAGCCTGACAGGCAGGCAGGGGAGATGTTATCATGCCAGCCTCGTGTTGTTTCTTCAGGTGCTTTTAAAGCAAGTTGGACCATGCAGCTCACCTGCCCTGTCTGCCCCTCACACACACACACACACACACACACACACACAGAAATACCTCACATCTCTTCACGTTCGCAGTTCTTGAGGAATATCTTTCAGCTTCTCCATGCGTCTCTACTTCTTTCAAATACCTTTATGCATTTCTACATTTTTCCTCCATCATCCTCCCCCTCTGCCCGCTCTCTTCCATCTTCCTGCTTTTCTTCCTTCAATCACACCGCCCTCACGCCTCCCAAGCCGTTGTTTTAAGTGAGTGTCATCAAGCTCACAGATGTTTAGCACCATTTTACCGTCGCTCTGTCACACACACACACACTTACACGTAACGCAGACACACACACACAAAGAGCAGGGCTGCTGGAGTAATCATGTCATGTAAATTACCCAGCATATCAAGAGGCCTCTTCACCTGCAATCAGGCTCTCAGTGCTGCAGAGCAACCCGCATTCAGCAACGCAAAAAAATAAAAAATGAAACTTTTTCCCCGAAATTAAAGTGCAGGAAGGGGGGAATTTCCTCATCTTCCAGGAATGTAATTTGAGAAAAAGAATGCATTTTGTTTGATGTCTGCAGTAATACTGTAAAGAAGTGTGAGCGATAACCTGAGTTTCCATTGACTATTAAGTTGCACAAATTTGGTTAATGGAAACACAAAACTTTGAACTTCTCAAATGTAACGAAATTAATGTATTTTTAAAAAAACTGCAATGAAAACACTTTCAGATCACATGATCGACAACAGGACGTTACTACTGGCAGAAACGACAAAGAAGACAACAGGAAGTGGTCATAGGACGATGGTGCTTCATGTTTTTTAATGACTTAATCCATGAATAAATTTATTCACATGCAATTTCAATTGCATTTCTCATTTATTGGAAACACTGCAATTGTGAAGTTGCACACATCTGTAAAGAAGTAATGCAGTAGTGTGGGAAAGTAGCGTTTTTATGACTTTAAGATTCTCCATGTGTCCCAATAACAGAATCAATAAAGATACGAATGTCCTGCACATAGTTTTACCTTAAAGTTAAAGCACTTTTATTTAAAATTATCTTTATAGGTTGTGATATATCAGATGTTTTGTCATCGTAGAAAGTCAAACTGTAAGGTTTGGTTTCTAACTGGACCCAGATGCACACAGAACTAGTTTCAGAAAAGCCAAGAGGTTTTAAAAAAAGTTAAGAGTTATAATTGTGTATCTGCTCTGATTTTAATGTTTAATCACTGACAGGTTTAAGAGTAAAGGGTTGTTTTTATAGGGAATAAATATTTTACACTTTTAGTTTTAGTTTTGACTTATCTGTCCCTTGTTGGTCTTTTAGTTTCACAATCCATCTTTACCTGCTGATCAGTGGAGAGTCGTGGGCGGGGCTAATGCTCAGCTCCAGACGTCATTGGTTGAGAAATGGGATTGGACCAATCACCACTTCATCACGAGGAACTTTCCTATAGTTGCGTAAAAGAAAAAAAATTCTAGTAATTTAAAATGAAAATACAAAAACACAGTGGAAATGGAACATTAATTACATAAAATCTGGTATAAAACCAAGGACTAATCTAATGCAGTAAGAAAAATTAAACTTATTTTGATAGCAATGATGTTAAAAATGTAATTGTAGAATGAATCAAACCTCTACAGAGATTGAATTGTTTTTCTATGACTTTGTGTCCAATCCATCACGAAACGATAAACTTTTAGAGGCGTCTACATCTAAAAGTTTGTTGGTCCAATGATGAACATTTCAATATGTAAATGTTTTTAAAGTCAGAACTCATGTCAGCTGCCAGTGATATATTGACAGATGAATCAGAAAGGTTTGCAGTCAGTCAAAGGAATAGCATTACCACATTTAGAATCCAACAAAATTAGACCCAAAGGGATCAATGTTTTTGTTTGTATTCTAATAAAGAGAAAAACTGAAGTGTGTTAGAATTAAGTTTGCTTCCAGATGGTGACCTGTGACTGCCAGGCTTTTTTCTGGGATTAGATTTGTGTTGTCTCCCTCTGCAGTTTGCAGAAATACTTGTCCTTACATGTACAAACAGACACTCAGAGTCTGAAACACGGTTTAGTTTTTGTCTCACAGAGAAACAAATCTTTTCTGCAGCTAAATTTGGCAAAGAACAGAAGGGCAGATATGAAGAGTAATAATTCCCAAACTCATTCACAGCTCAATAATACCCATTACCAAAGAAATAGATTATTTTCTCTGTCATTGTTGGCCTCACAGATTGTGAAAAGCTTCAGAAAATGACAAAAACAGATCAATTTACAACAAAATGACTTTAGGTTTGTCTTGATAATCATATTTTCTGGATCCTTGTTTTCTTTGATAATAACTTAGAATCGAGGATGTGGATTTTCTTTTGCACGTTGGGCTGATTACACCTTTTTCAGGTGTGTTTGGTGGAAGTAGGCCTTCTGTCAGACTTTACAGAAAATTAGCTGCATCTGGTTTAAAGGTGACCTATTATGCATCCTTGGAGAGGTTTGGATAGGTCTATGGTCTACACAAAACATGCTCATTACATTTTTTGCACAAAAATGATTCTGAGAAAGTCAGATTTTACTCTGCTCAGTCTGCCTCTTTTAGGCTTGTTAGGGCCTCTGTCACTTTAAATCCAGATAAGCTGCTGCTGGCCACACCCCTTAACTCAACCTTAATGCTCACATGTGAAAATGGCTGCAAACAGATGCGCAATTATATAACCGTGCAAATTTGAAAAGCAGGGGTGGAGCCTCCTGCACAACAAACAAGAATGCAGCAAGTGATTTCTAAGGGTGTTTTCACCTGATAGTCCAGTAAACTCGGTTTGATTCAGTTTGTTTCCACTGTATCAACCAAACCAAACTAACTACAAAACCTGTTCCCCTCCTGGCCTGTGGGGGCGCTGCATCAAGAGCCACTGAAGAAAACGACACAAAACCTCAGAAGACACTGAACGCAACGTCGTTCTCCACAAAATGTAAATAGCACTAGAGTAGCGTCAGATTTTAGTGGCTGTAGGACTTCTCTTTTGGCGTTCCTAAAAGGTCTCGTCTCTCGCTAGCACTAGCACAGCACATTTGTCTTGGTTGTGTTTAGTCCACTTCCTGCTTTTGGAGCGGTCTCTGGTCCACTTGGCGTTCACATATGCATTGAATTTATTTTAAAGGAACTGAGACCAAGGTTCACTTTTTTGGTCCACATCAGTTTGCATGTGTGCAAACGAACCGGACTTTGTAGGCAAACGGAGTGGAGTTTCATTAAAGTAAAATAATAAACAGGGCTGGTAATAACACTATCAGAGCTGCACCTCAGCTCAAGTCCTCAGATGGTTTCTAACTTTTTGCTCCTCTGTAAGAAGCTCTACTTTTCTGGCGACAATCGCAAGAGAAGGTGTCAGTTTTCAAGTGGGGGATATCTTTCATTTTTGAAGGAAACACTGAGGTCTGTGTCTCACACTGCTGCCAAATCCAGTCAGGCTTACTGCCCTTTACCTGCCACTGGCCATAATGCAACCGCAGCTTAAATTGTGACAGGCTTGGCAAGGCACAAATAAGGATTAGCTGTTTGTCATATGTGGTATATAGAATTGTAGCTGCATGTCTTAGTTAATGTAAAATGTAACTCAGCTTTTAATGTCAGCTGGGAATGGTGAAGACATGGATTAAATTAGGAGAAATCTTCAAAGTTATACTTGACAGTGTTGGTGTGACTCTTTTTCCTACATATGTGGGTGTTTAAACATTAGACACCGTATAATTAGGAGCTTTTTGTAGCATGTTTCTTAAACATAAGGTTTCTCTCTTGAACTTGAACAAATGTTTAGTTCGTAGATGTAACGCTCGTCTTAATCTGCTTCCTTTGTTTTTAGGTAGCAATCTGGTTTGACATTTTTGGAAATCACAAAACTGTGATTCTCTTCTAGGTTAAATATTTTTTATTTCTCCATTCTTTGATTTGGCTGGCGTACGTTAAAGGTCAGACCTACTGAACTGTGAAAAGAGACCAACATCAGACACTTACTGTCACATGTAAAGTAACATAATAGTTAGATTTGCCATTTCAATGCAAATTATCCAAAAAGAAAAAGTTATTCTTCCCAAAACTCTTCAGCAACCTGTTGTAAGAAATTATTCTGCATGGCTTCTCAATAAATCTGATTATGTAGCTTTTATCATCACTAATAATGGTGGAAAATAATAAATTTAGCATCACTTGAAACTATCAAACTCCATCCTGACAGTCTTATTTTTACACCCTTCATCCCAAATGCACTGCATAAAATGGAGAATATCTAAAATGACTGAAGCTCCACATGTTGCCCTCTTTGCACATTTTTTAAGTTTCTATTTCCAGATATAAGATTACCAGATGACATTCCAACTTAAAAAAAAGTTCAACATTCAGAAGCACACAAATTAATGTAGCTTTGAACCATTTCCTTGCATTCTGACCATTTGTGTCACATTTAAGGGGACCTGTGGTGCAAAATTCACTTTTTGTAGTTTTTTTTTTTTTTTTTTTTTTTATCTATTTGTGTCTCAACTCTGTTTTTGACACTAAATTAAACTTCTTTGGTGTCTGGAAAATAAGCCACTCTAAAAATGTCATGATCGTTAGGTCACATTTGACTGCTGTGTTACCTAGCAACCCAAGCCCAGACTGCTACCTAGCAACCCAAGCTGAGCTCTAGCACTTTAAGTCAGCTGGTTTTACTGCTGTATGTGCTGTACAATGGCTGCTGGAAAAGACAAGTGTTTAGTTGTTTTATCATCCAGAAATCACTTAATGCATTATAGGTGGTTGTGCAGGAGGTCCCACTTCTGCTTATCAAAGATAATTGCACATCTGCTTGCAGCCATTTCCACACACAAATAAAAGAATATGGAAATGATCAGTTTTATAAGTTAAGAACAGGACCTGTTAAGCCTAATTGATAGCATCCAAAAGGCTCTTCTATGTGGCAAGCCGTGAATTTTCTGGGATGTAAATTTGATCATATGTATCCACCAACCCCCGTCTCTACAAATGTCCATGAACAGCTTTCAGATTTATGTGACCTTCCTGGCTGTTTGTGCTGTTTCAGACAATCAAGAAGCATAAATAAAAGGAGAAGTCAGGTCATGAGCAGAGGTAGAAAAAACAACAATGATGCTTGTTTTTCAATGTAGATAATTTATCCATCAAGGACACAAAATCTCTACTGATATTCTGGGGAGAAATGGCTTCATTCACTCTCTTCAGGCCTTCTCCTCCTTTTCTGAGAAGATGGTGTGTAAACCATTTTGGTTTAAAATGTAGGCAGCAATTAATTTCTTGCCTTCATATCCAGGCTGCTGTCAGCAACAAGCTTACAAGGACAAGATCTTAAGTACATGAAATCCGCCTGATTCATCTAACTCATCAGACCACCTACAGTTGTTGTGCTGACGCTGTATTTATCAAACCTATGCCATGGTCACACAAAAACAAATTAATCTGCGTGTCTCTGTGAAATCTTTGATCTTTGGCGGCTCGGTGATGTAGTCACCAACCGCTGACACGCTATCCAGTCAGAAACATGCTTCTGCTAGTCGGCCTGCAAGTTTGTTGATCTCTTACGCCATTTCCTCCCCGAGGCGTTGGTTCAGTCCTGCTGCACGCTGCAGCGCAGGAGGCCAAGAGTTACAGGAGGAAAACACAAAACTGGAAATTGTGTTTCTGCTTCTCGTCTTTCATACATTTAGCTTAGTGCTACTTTGTGGAAAATGTCACTTTTGCAAAAGCTAAATAACTGAATAAAAGTCAGTTTGTGATTTAATTACAAGGTTGAATCCACATCAAATCTTTATTTAAAAAAAAAAACTCATTTATTTTTCTTGTTATGAAGTATTTTAGCAATCGACCCCCATCTCAGAATCTTTCTCATTGTCAGCTGTATTATTCTGAAATATCACAAATGCGCTAATAGCAAGCTAGTTTTTTGTTTAGTGCTTTAGCATTGAAAACTTTTAGTGCTTTTAGCTTGCCCTAAATTAACTATGAGATAAATTCTAAAGCACTAATTTAATTGGCTGTTTTATAAAGTTTCAGTTGAGTTAAGTTTGTGTTAAAGTTTTTATCGTTTATATTGAATCTCTTATTTTGAAGTGGGTGTAGACTGTTACTGTTTCCTCTCTTCACATTATCTTTTTCCTAATAACTTCAAACAAGAAACACACAGGAACAAAATAAAACACAGACATTATAAAACATTAATTTTAATGTTAAAGTTTAATTAGAGCTCAGCGGTTGTTGTTTTAAAGCAGATATAATGTGAACTTAAGTTAGCTTTGCTTTAGCGCCTTAGCATTAGCGTTCCCCTAAATTTGGACATTATTTACAGCTGAAATCAGATATTTAGAAATACTTTTTCTTTTTTGCTGTCTGACGTTAAATCAGACTAAACGTTTCTTGTTTATGGTCAGCTGGAATTTCAGA